CTGAATAGCCGACTTATCTCGTACGAAAATTAATAAATTTCTGCATAGTACTGCGAGGTACGCATAAGACCTAGAACACTACGTACTCCTCTGCATTAGTGGCAAAGATGCGTGGAGGTAAGCCTGTAATTTGTGGGTTCGACTCTCCTATTCCAGATTCGGTCAACGTTTTTTTACTCAATCGCTAGGGTCGGACTTGTTTCACTTTTAAGACTACTATGTAATGGAAATATAACTTTGGGGACTTTATTGTATACGAAGTCTAGTCGACGGGGGCAAATTAATTGACTAATAACATAATGACAACTGTGACGTAGAGAGCTCAACGAACATGAACCGAATTCGTCACCTGCGCTCAATAGGGAAAAGTAATCCGATTTCAATGTTATTATCAGTGCCCAGAGGCAAGTATGTTATCAGACGAAAGACATTGGTCGGTGACCGATCCGCTAATACTGATAATTAAATTAACTACTGTATTATCTAAACACTAGGATTCTGTAAGTACCTAGTCCACTAATGCCGTTTCATCAAGATAGGGAAAGATAACGCCAACGAAATCGTAGAAAAAAGGCATCAACAAGGTTGCAAATACCCCAGATATTCGGAATCGGAGACTCGTTCAAGACAGTTGAGATATGCAAGCTATCAGATTCACCGTGACCCCGAGTTTTGTCCACCTTCATCATACCGCATCAGACTGTATCAGTTTGCGTTGGACAATAGATAACGGGATTTCGGGATGTAACACGGGCAAGAGGCGGTGATCACCTATCAGAAAGAGGGAAAACGAGATAGATAGCAGCAGCATGAAAAACATTAATAGAAATTAGACCCAAACTCAATGATAAAACCCATGTCTAGCCGCTTGTTCTTAGTTTCAACTTCACTTTTGCGCGTCGTACTGTTTGAACACTTCCTCCAACTCCTCCATCCTTATAACAGCGTCGTGGAGACGAGGCCAGTCCTGGCCTTCGGGAAGATCACCCGTCGGCTTTCCGCTCGTCCACCAATGCGCGAATCTCTCGTACAACTCTGCAACGATCCGAGACCGGTACGGGAGCTCCTTCTGCCAGTCTTCCCAATCCCAATCCACGTCGACAACTTCGTCTGTAATATGATCGTGTAACTTGATCTCGATCGGGTCCTTATAAGAGTCGGAATGCACATATGCGCCGTTGGCTGTTACCATAATCTCGCCCAACTCGCCGTTAATAGTCCACACGAAACCAGGGGTTTCCTTAAACTGTGGCCCGCTTCTATAAGTGACGGATAAAGTAGCATCATCCGCAATATTGGTCTTCCCTTTGGCCAGCTTGCCATGAATTGCCAGGAGATCCGGAACGTTAGTAGGCCTTTCCTTGATTTGAGAACCGTCCTTGCCAATGATCTTGACCACCGGTCGTTGAATCTGCATCCGGCTCTGAAAAGACGAAAATTCCCCGAGAACTTCATGCACGTAGTCGATGGTGTGTCCATAGGCAATCGTGATGGGGTTGCCGCCTACTTCCCTATCCGCAAAGTATGATAGACCCTCTGAAAATGAGTCTCTTCTCGCAAGATTGCCATAAGTGCGGATATCGCTGCTAAAAACCTGGCCAACACGTCCCGATTTTAGGATCTCTTTGAGCTTGAGAACAATTGGTGAAACGCGCCCCTGAAGCCCGATGATAGTGTTATCCAAACGTTCCTTCCCCGTCAGAGCGACGGCTTCCTCGTAATCTTGAGCCAGAGGCCATTCTATGAAAACAGCTTTGCCAGCTCGTAAGGATGGCCCCGTGGATGAACTATGAGTATCCACGCGCGTGCAGCAGACAACTAAGTCAACATTCGTATCTAAAGCTAGGTCATCTGGGTCACCATAAGCCTTCGCGTCCGGGGGGAGGGCGAAGGATTTCCGAGCTGCTTCCGCTGCAGAGATACTTGAATTGAGCAGAGCCACAATTTCGTATTGGGAACTTCCTCGTGGTGATAATAGGTATGGTAGATGACCTTGAGCTGCCCAAGACGTCTTTGCGGATTGTGAAAGTCCAACGAGCGCGACACGAATAGGGGCCATCTTGATGCAGAGAATAGTGACAAATATTGGTGTACGGTGCGGTGATACAACAACACAACGAATCCAACTACCAGCCTACGCTAAATGCCACCTTCTTATATCCATACTCGCTATAGCCCAATCCAACGTTCATTAGAAATCATCTTGAAGCTGCTGCATATAAATGTGTGGATGACTAACCAATTTACTTAGTCATTTTCCATTTTAGGTAAATGGTCCTCATATTCATTACCTAACAGGTCGACCCATTATCCTAATAGAGCCATCACGCAACTGACTCCGAGTATCGTAACAATGATAAGCACCTGCTTCCATAAAGACGCCTGAGCTAAAAAGAGACCAAAGAAAAAGAAAACGATGCTATGAAGAAGACCTCGGCGTAGGTAACTCTGTTGACGTAATGCTTCTGGAAGATGCTTCTAGCAATCCCTACCCCAACCTAGCTGTCGATTCACCTCATTCATCGCACCAACGCCAGCCCTGAACAAACCGAGTGCGCCATTGACAGCGGCACTACCGGTGTCAAGCGCTGGTTCGGGCTCTTGTGCCCTTCTAAGATCGGCCTGGTCCAAAACTTTCTGCTGCTTCTCCATCACAGCCTTGTAGATGGCGCGCGCCCATAAGTTATACCATTGATCTTCGCTGATGCTCACGTATTCCTTACCGCCGCCCTCAGCCGCTCTCGAGAACGGCCATTCCGAAATAGCGACCTCCCACCTCTTCGTCCGTAGCCATAGGTACGGCCAGGAGAAGATGAAAAGGAGGGTAAACATGAATAAAGTTTGTATCCACGCCGTCAATCGCCAATGATTGACCTTCGCCTCGTTGTAGCACTCGACTAAGGCGTTCTTCATCACAAGTTCGACCTTGAGGTGGCCGCGATAGTTGGTGTTGTTCACGAGGGTCCGCAATTGATTTTTGACACGTTCTTCATCGAACCCCACCATGGTTCGGTGGAGCGCGAACACCTTCAAACCGGCGTGGCTAGCGGCGTACCGATGACACCACTCCGTCAGCGTCGGCTTTGGGGTACCGCCGACTTCGATGCTTTGATTCGTGCCCGGGGCTCGTTTTCTAAGTATGGTACCCCGAGTCGTCTTCTCAAAATTCTCCACGGTGCGCAGCTGATACCACGACTTGCGGTATTGTGCGTCCGAGTATAGATATGGCGTCAGCTCGACCGATACATCGAAATCTACAACGGTGGTGGTTTCGGTTTTGTCTTTGTCGTTTCGTCTCGTCTCGGTGTGGGTTCCGACAAGATTGATGTAAGGTCGCGGTGGAATGGCAGCGAGTTTTCGAATGTGCGACTCGAGCTTAGCCGGATACTCGAGGCTTTTGGCTATCCAGAATTGTGCACCATTGTTGAGTTCATTGAAGACTGTGCCATCTTCCATCATTAGAGATGCAGCCGTGGCTGGAGCGTTGAATGGGGTGGAGGTCTGAATAGTTGGCGGGAGTAATGTTTCGACTTCGCTGTAGTTGGGTGGCAAGTCATCAACGGAAATTTCGGGAGTGTTGAGGTCATCGTGATTAATATTACTTCTAGAGTTCTCGCCTATGTTTGAATGTAGAGAAACAGAGTCGGCTGCTGCCTTGGTGGCAGATAGGTCTGAAGGCTTGCCCATTGTTCACGGTTCACGAGTTGATAGTAGAGAGTGGAATAGGGTAAAAGCTCAGATGAGAAAGAGTAGAAAACTGAGGTAGAGACGGCAGTGAACCAATTTACCTACCTTCTTAATACCCAGGCTGCCAGGTTATCTTTGACAAAGCAATCTTGGAAATCTTACAATGGCAAGTGGGCTGAGACGTGGGAGTTAAAACAGCTGAACAGCTGAGGCTGGATGGGTCTTGGAAGATCTAGAAGTCCTAGGTACTAATGTATCTGAGGCACCCCCTGTAACCGCATCTGCCAATCATGAATTGGTGCACTACGGTTAGTGCTAGTTAGTGCATGGGTCCCTGTAATACGATGTATTCGCCCGATGATTCACACGATGTGTTGGTTCTTTAAGGGGAATGTAGTATCTAGAGGTGTCAATTGAATCTGCTGTTGGAACATTTACTTGAGCCTTTTCTTGATAACAGGAAGAATCTAGGACTGCTTATTGTCAGCAGCATCACCTGTTGTATATGCAGGTTGGAACTTTATTCCACTTGTGCAGGATGACATCGAGAGACAAGGCATTTTCAAAGGCATAAATTTGAGAGAAAAAAATATAAGTCGTTCTTTTGAATATTGGGTGGACAAGTTTACACCAATGCATGCAAAATTAGCATACCTCATTGGCAATCTTTGCTGAAGTAATTGATGAAACCGATCTCTCCAGTATGAAGTCGTCCTATATTCCAAGAGAAGAGCAAAAAGTGAATCGTGACAAGAGTGGGATTCGAACCCACGAGGGTTTCCCCACGAGGAAATCGTGTTAAGATTGCAACCTTAACCTCGCGCCATGGACCAACTCGGCCATCTTGCCCGTATGATGTGAAAATTCGGCTCCGTATTGACGTACATGTATTTTGTCAAAATTTTCCTATCCAATGACTCCTATTGGATAGAAGATGCAATTCATACTGTCCGAGGCAGAACTCCGGCTAAGAAAAAAAAAAAAAACTTAGCGTACTACTAGGTAGCACGGTCTCTATTCTACATACCTGCCCACTATACAATCTTGTGCTGAAGGAAGGCGACAGCTTAGAGACAAGTACTAAAAAATAAGACGTCAATAAAAATAACCTTTCTTGTAAGGAATGCGTTCATCTTCTCGTCTTCTTTATAGCAGCTACGAAGTAGGTACGGACGTTACATTGAGTCCTTAATCACCACGGCTCTTAGTGTAGGTACTCAACAGGACGAGTCGAGTGTTTTATCATCAACGCTTAGGCGGTTGGCCAATTATCAAGTTACAAAGCAACCTGACAGAGAAAATCGCAAAAAGGTTGCCCAACACAGGAGTCGAACCTGTTGCCTCCTCATTTCAGTACAGTCCTTCCCGTATCCTCGTATTGTCCAAGAAGATGTACTAGTGAGGCGCTCTACCGGTGAGCTAGTCGGGCCACATCATCAACTTAATCCACTTCGATGGAGTTGATGTTCGTGGTTCGGTGAAATTTTTTTTCGCTAAGATCAATCATATACAGTTGGTCAAGATCAATGTGTTGAACCAAGTACCTAATTGATAGGTATAAAGATAATTGTCAATTGGCTCAAGGTAGGTTAATCCAAACTACTCCCCGAAGCGGCCGGACACTCTTCAATGTCAACACACTACGTGCTAAGTCTGATCTTTCAGAGCGGGCTTGTCCGGGTGACGTGCATTACTTGGCTGTCTTCGAAATTATCAGAGAAACTTTTATGGGGGGCGTACTATTGTAAAAAGAGACGAGGACTCAGTATCTCTGTGTCTCATAAATAACTTCTTTAGGACTCAATCCTACTTAGACTATATATACCCTTCGATACAACAAAGCCCGAGAATAAGACAGATAACATCTAGACACTAATTAATCAGACGAGGTCGCTATGAGCATGCGGATTCAATCAATTCACTGCGAGATTAGTTGGAAGATCGACCGTACCATAGGCAAGTTCAGCGATTGAATTAACTATAAACCAATTAACTTCGCGCCGATAGGTACAAACGTTACCGATTTCGTCCCCTGTACCCCGCAGTGCTTTAATTTGCTAGGTGCAAATGCTGGCCAAAGAGGATGTACTGGAACATTCTGAATAAAGTTTAGAAAACCTAACTCTTTACAATACAATATCTTATTATTTTTCAATCTTTCAGTACATGTCCATTTGATTTCAAATTCCCAAACACGTTTTGATAAAACTACCTAGATACCTAGGTACCCAGAATTTATCAGTAAATCAATTCGACCAATACAAAGCAGGGATTGTTATAGATCGTCCAGATATACGATAGATCTGTACTATTTAAAGAGTGGAATCCGGGTTCAAATTAAAATCAACCCGGGGCACGAACAAAACATTTCAAACACTACATACCTTACCTTCTAGGTAGTAATAGCTTACCTAATATGGAGGACAGAGAAATCGTGTAAGTCGTTAGAATACGTCTGCTTTGGCCCGTCGCGTGTTTGCGTGCGTATTTAAATCCGGGCATCGTAGAGTGCTACCGTCGTCGCTCTTCGTGAACTTACACGTGGGGGGATTCCCGGGGTTAATGACCAGTTGGGGGCGCGGGCGCTATGCCCTGGTTGGGCCATTCAAAAAGAGCCCAGGAGCCTCAATTTCAACTCCGATGTTACTTAACCAAAGTTTCCCTCCTCGAAATCAGAATACCTGCATCTCGTCAGTTAACCAGCCATGGATGCTAGCTTGGCACTCGGTGTCGCGGGCGACATTCTTACCGTCATAGAATCCAGCGCAGAGCTGCTCTCAACCTCCGATGCATCTAAAGTATCGTCATGGTTCCAGGAAGAAGATGAGGCGTCGGTTCTTGAAAATTACAGGAAATTGAGGTTGGCGCTCTCCGAGAAGCGCGATTTATTACAGCAGCAATTGCCCACGAGCCCATCGCCGCCAACAGAGAATGAGCTGGTACTTTTGGAACTGGCCTCTTCCTCCCTAGAAGATTCTAGTGTGCTACTTGAGACTATCGAAAGCATACCGAAGGATTTTCTGAGAAATAGATCCCACTCATGGGAGGCAGAAACTAGAGCCTGGGTTGTATCTAAACTAGCAGGCAGATTCAGCCTAGAGAAAGTAGACCGACTTTCTCACGCCGTAACGCGTCACACGAGTTCCATTCTGAGGTGAGCATCGCGGCCCTTAGACGTACCTGATAGTTTGGAAGATTTTGACATCCGATGCTAGCTTTCGTATCTCTGAGCTCAACAAGACTATCGAATCTTTAGAAGACGTGAAACGGTATTCTAGACCAGAACAGGAATCAAGAATTGACTCTATCTCTCAGGACATAGAGAATCTGAGATTGGAGGTTCAAAGACGGTCGGTAAATCCTGACACAGAGGATCCGGGAGTCTTTACGGAGACTGATATCAGACTATTTAACGACCGACTAACTAGCTTAACCGAAGCCGAGGACAATATGTTCGCGGACAGGATCGTCGCTAGTTTGAACTACGCCAGTAGACCCGTCCGCCATGATTCCGTCCCGCAGGCACATCAGAATACATTCCAATGGGCCTTCGATTCGCGTCTTTCGCAGTGGCTTGGCTCTGGAAATGGCATCTTCTGGATCTCAGGCAAACCTGGGTCTGGGAAATCCACCTTCATGAAATTCATCGCAAGACACTCTCAGACAAGAAACTTACTTACACAATGGACGGGCTCGGCAGATACACTTGCAGTAGGGGTACATTTCTTTTGGATCGCGGGTACATCGATACAGAAATCGTGGCAGGGACTATTCCAATCCCTGCTCTTCGACGTCTGCCACAAACATCCGTCAGTCGTTCCGCTAATCAGTCCCAGTCGCTGGAAAGCCGCCAAGGCCGGACTCTGGCAGGATGCCGCGGAGCCGTGGTCCGTTTCCGAACTTGCAGCTGCGCTTCGAGGATTAGCATCAGCTGATAACATGCCGTTGAAAATGTGCTTCTTCATTGATGGACTCGACGAATACGACGGCGACCATGACGAGCTCTGCAGGGTTCTCTGCGATATAGCAAGTTCTCCCCATATCAAAATGTGCGTGTCTAGTCGTCCGTGGCCCGTGTTTGAAAGAAACTTCGGTGGTGAAAACAAGGAAAGAATAGATATTCACGAGCTGACTCGAAACGACATCCGGGAGTTTGTAAGCGATCAGCTTCAGGCCCATCCTAAGTGGACCACGGATGAGTCCGGGACGGTAGTCCCTGAAAAGTCTGGGCTTATAGAGCAGATCGTGGCTAAGGCCGACGGCGTGTTTCTCTGGGCCTTCTTTGTGACTCGATCACTCCTAAAAGGCCTATCTGATGGTGACAGAATCCAAGATCTGAGTCGACGTCTTAACGGACTGCCGACAGACCTAGAGCAGCTGTTCAAACATATGCTAGAGACTGTAGATCCAATTGATCACGCCAAGATGGCGGGCATTCTGCAAGCCGCCGTTCACGCATCAGAGCCACTCCACATCGACCTCTATTGGCAGTTAGAAAGGGAGTTTGAAGAACACGACTACGCCGTTCGATGCCCGATAGGATCCGGATCACCAGAGCAGATTTCAGCGCGGAGAGAACAGAGTAGTCATAATATAAACGAAATGACAAAGGGCCTACTCAAGCTTGTAGATCTACGGGTCGAATTCCTCCACAGAACAGTGAAGGATTTCGTCCTGACCAAAGATATGGCGGTGTACTTACGTAGCAAACTTCCGGATCACTACAACGGCTTTATATCCATTGCTACTGCATACCTCGGCTTTCTCAAAACCACATCCCAGGATCACTTACTTGTCGCAGGGATCATGAGGCACGGAAAGGGACTAAATAGCGGACAATTCATCTCGCACCTAAACCAGGCCTTGCTTTACGCATCAGAGGCGCTGAAAGCAGGCCAGCATGACCCTCATCATTACCAACAGACGACGACACTTCTAGATAAGTACGAAGTAGCCGTCGAGGCCATGGTCCGCGTAAGGCACGTTACCATTAGGGGGGTTAATTCCGAGTTTTGTCACCCCGGGCTGCCTTTCCGCGAGGAGTTAGTGAGGCACGACTTGACATCGTACATCAGCACGAGAATTCGTGAGAAACCTGATTTCTTCGATATCTTCGACGAATCACCACTGTTCGCCGCGCTCACACCTATGTCGCTCAACAATGGTGAAAGCCCGCCACCCGTATCAGCCACTCTTGAGCTCCTCCTCCAGCGCGGAGAGGATCCCAACGTGTTACCGCGGATCAGGGCGCCGGGACCGTTTGAGGCACCATCACCCTGGGTAATTTTCGCCCGTAGTACCATGTCCGTCTTCAACATGCTATCAGGGCCCCTCATGTTCCCCGCTCTACGGTGGAACGCTTCTTTAGACAATGCCCTCTTCGACCTTTTGATATCGTACGGTGCAGATCCTAACAAGCCTCTCCTTGACCGGCGGGGGGCGCACACCGTCTTCTCACACTTCTTGAAAATAGCAACATCGCGATTCCTCGGCGAGGAGTGCTTCGACGGCTATCTTAGGACATTGGATGCCTTCTTCAGAGAGGGCGCCAGTCTCGGCATTCCGCCTAACGGAGCTGTTGGCTCGGATGCCGAGACTGCGTTTGGGAATCTTGCGAGATCGCACCCGGAGGAATCGATACTAGTTTCATACTGCACCGAAATGAAGGGTCTTATGACGAGATTGGCAGCTGATCCGGGACGAGCTCGGTTCCTCTCATCCGTGACCGAAAAGCTTATTGCAAGTTGTTCTGGTAAGGAGGAAGATTTGGAAAGGCTTGCATTGTCGATATCTGAGAACTTTCCCCAGCATATTACAAAGCCGCTATCGCGGTTAATTGATAGCGAACTAGAGATGTGCAAGAAACGGGGAGGCACGCGGAAGAGGCCTCGGGAGAGTTGGGGTGATGGGCCATATAGCGCTAGCGTCAAGCAAGTTAGAGGGGAGTAGATCGACGATGGCGGGCGAAATGATACTAAACCGCTAAACCGTTAATTAACGTAAAAACAATAAAACATATAATGTTAAAGTGGCTTATATTATATTTATATTATATTTTATTATTAAAGTTTTTATAATTATTAAAAGATTTAACGTTTTTAAAAACGTTATTAAATATTATAATTATAAATAATTTTAATAAATTATTTTAATTAATTAAATTATAAAATATTTAAATATTTTAAATAATAATTAAATAATAATTAAATAAT